TTTTAAAGTGTAGATCAGTATGTAACAGAAAAAAGTGGGAAAATGGGAGAGTTGATTTTAATGTAACTCATGTCTTTTCCTTATATTCTCTCCAGATCTGACTGCCAGCTTATACCATGGACATTATCTGTGAAACAAGTCTGGGATGCTCAGATGATTTTTCCTTCTTCTATTATATGAATCTGTGATAGAATAGAGAAGGACTTGGACCCTACAATAATACTATGAGTCATTCAGATCATCTCTTGGTAACAACCACTACATAAAGCCACATCTCTTTGTTTAGAATACCAGCACCATTTATCCTTCCCTAAATGTACCTTCTCTTCCTCTCGACCGCAGTCTTCCACTCACCTGAAAGGCAACCTCCCACGCTGTTCCCCAAATCATGTAAAATAACGTAAGAATGAAAATGCCTTAAGTAACTAACATTACACAAATATGCAGTAACGCAGATTGTGACAGGATAAATATTATGTCTGGGAAGATATTCACAGCAAGAACATACTGAAGGAATTTCATTGTATAAATGTGTTGGGAAAGGGTGTTATTTTGAAAGTGGGCAAGATGAAAGCTGCCAGGGAGGTCAGTGTAAACACAAATTCCGCCAAGAAACTCAACCCCATCCTGACAGGCCACAGAACACTTGGCCTCACTGGGTTGGGTGTGGACACAGCAGGAGGGAAGCGACTATCCTTTCGGTGACAGAATGGGCCCCCTCCCCTTTACCAGTGATGACATGTGTGTGTACCTGATGGCCGTCCAAAGGCCTGGCTAGTGGTTTCTAGGGGATCTACTTTTTTAATTATACAAACCAGACCCCGGCTATAACAAAAACACAGATGTTACCGAAACAGCACAGGTTCGAGAAAATGTCTAGCTCATTTGTTCATCTATTTGTTCTTTTTCAGGTATCTACTCTGTGTGGCATAGGGCTACGCTGGCCCTCCAGGACCATGCAAAGTTCCAGATTCACAGATTTGGGCCTGGGGTCCGTGGGTCCCCAGAAGGTCCATAGATAGGTTCTGGCAGCCTAGAAACTGAAATGATATGTGAAATTCTGTGTGTAAGTGAACCTGTGCGTTTTTTTTTATCCTTGGAAAAAGGCTTCTGAAGGGTTTTCAAAAATATCTATGATATTCCCAAAAGATTAAAAATCATATTCTAAGAAAACCTAGAAAGAAATTTACAGTAGACTATCTTTCCTTCCCCATTATCAATGATGTGGCTGATAATGCAGCTGGAGAAATTTCTTCTTTGGTTCTGAAATGAAATTACTAAAGCTGTATTTTCTGATTGATCAGTTATTCTCTGACTGATTAAATACTACAATAGGGATGAAGCAATCACAGATTTCATGGTTGAAATTTCTTTTCTTTTCTTTCCTTTTTTTTTTTTTTTTTGAGACAGAGTTTTGCTCTTGTTGCCTGGGCTGGATGCAGTGGCATGACTTCGGTTCACTGCAATCTCTGCCTCCCGGGTTCAAGCGATTCTCCTGCTTCAGCCGCATCCTCCCAAGTAGCTGGGATTACAGGCACCCACAACCATGTCTGGATTTTATTTGATTTTTTGTATTTTTAGTAGAGATGTGGTGTCACCGTGTTGGCCAAGCTGGTCTTGAACTCCTGACCTCAGGTGATCCACCTCCTTCAGCCTCCCAAAGTGCTGGGATTACGGGGCGCGAGCCACCACGCCCGGCCACCAATTGCTAAAATACCTTAAACGTCTCTCAGTTGAAGCCATGATACACTTTCTTGTCATTCTAAAGGTGGCAGGTGATGTAGCACCTGCCTCAACTGCAGATGTAAACTGATGTAAGCTGCTCGGTGAATTCGTTTCACCCAAGAGAATCCCCTTTGACCCTGAACTTTGATTTTTTGGGGGTGTCATGGAGTCCCAGTCCATTTGGCTAAAATGTGAATTGTTCTGAACAACAACCTCTGTGCTCACATGACCTGTGGAGTTCAGCCTGATCCTCAGAGCTCCCTAACCCTCATCTCCCGGGAGCTGCTATCTCTTCCTCCTTTGTAAAGGAGCGGTCGATTTACATAGAGATACTGAATCAAAGGGAGACACATTCCAAGGGTGAGATACACCCTGAACCAAGATTTAAACTGCCAGAGAGAAAAAGGAGGGAATGGAAGAAAAGAGAGAAGGTTCAGACTTCTGTGGGGCCAGTGTAGCCAGCAAGGCCGTCAAAGCCGGACAGGCAGGTTTTCCCAGTTGCGGACCGAACCCGAGGTTAGGAGCTGTGATCCTGGATGGCAGCCAGCGCCCAGATAGATCCGTTTTGCAGAACAGAGAAAAACCCTTCCATGTTTAACCTCTGGCAGTTTCTCGGAGGTTTACAATCCCCATGGACTGGCAGCTGGTAACAGAAAGAGAACTTTTTCTACCTTTCATTTTACACCACGTACAAGGCCCCTTGGAGAAACCATCAGACTGGTGGCTTTTGACAGAATTCAAAATTGGCACTGAAAGTGTGGATGAGCCAAGAGCCAAGGCCTTCTGAGCCATGGCGTGGTGTGTCCATGCCAAGGGTATATTTTCAAGCACATTTTTAAAAACAGAAAATGAAACAGTCATCTTAAGATCACTTAATAAAATGTAATAAAACTTTTAAAGGATAAGATTCAGTGAAGAAGATTAAGACTAATTGTCAAAATTAGTGAGAATCATCTGCTCTCTTCCTAATGGCAAGCAAATTGCAAAAAAAAAAAAAAAAAAAAAAAAGGAAAAAAATCTGGCAGGCTTTGGTGTTGACACTTACACTTGAAAGAGAAAAATCAAATTATATTTTACGACTGTGGAAAGAAATTATGAGACAGAGTCAAATCGGGCCTTCAGACAGCTCATTTACTTTTGCAGCACTGACGGGAAAAAATAAACCATATGTATAATATATATATGTACATATCATTCAAGACCATCAATATTCACATCCATAGTAATTATGTTCAGTTAGGGTTCCTTTATTTTTTTTATTGCTGATTATCACTGGTAGGAAGGAGAGCCTGCTGAAAATATTGTCTGTTTATGGCATTTTAATTAATTTTCTCATTCTAGAGTATGGGAAGACAGCCCAGCCTTGGTTGCAGCTATTTTACTTTTTGGGGTTTATGCAAACTCAAGGGCATACTGGCACGAATCCTGCAGCCAAATGCAAACACTCCACACCTTGGGGAAACAGTTCACTGTTACCCAAGTAAACACAAGCACCTATTAGTCACCCACTCAAAACAGAAATGGCCAATGAGGGATGCAAGATCAACCCTCTGCACCACAGAAGAAAGCATGCTGCTTTCAAAATCTCATTTTTTTATCATCACTGATTTACTGTGCATTGCCAGAAAGCCACTACTGAACTTCTTGTGGGAAAATGTCACTGGCATGGATCATTAAATAGTTTCAAAAACTTCTATAACCAAAACCTAACATGTGGACCTACACAGATGCACAGTATGATGATAATATATTCTCTAAAAAAGCCATTCAACGATACTCAGCTATTGATTCCTAACAGCAGAAATCCACAAGAACTGAATTAAGAGAGTTAGCTAGGCCGATGGCCATGGACTAGGCTATGGGCCTTTGTTTTTTATTGGCTTCTCACCCGCTCTGCCAAAGCCTTTAAGATGTTTTCTGAACACACATCTCTGAATCATAATGCAAATTCCATTTACTGAAAGGTGGGGACTTTTAATATAACAAGGGAACCCATTTAATGATTTATGCTTTTATATCTTACACCATCATTCATGCTTTCAAAAAGTGGATATAAGTTTCTTTGCATTACCCTATTATTAATATAGTACTATGAACATATATTTTCAATCAAATATATAATTTTTTAAATTTTCTCCAGCTACGATTCTATTATGAAAACGCTCCAGATAGCTAGGATAGCAAAATAATTACCAAAATAGTCAACACATATTTATTCCTTTCTCCTTTCTGACTAATCAAATTCCCTGAGAACTGAGATTTTCTTGTTTTTAAACGTCTTTATAAACAGTAATAATTTCTCTTACTTTAAATGTTGTTTGGTTGGTGCTTCTATTACTGGAAATCTTTTTATTATACTTGAAATAACTTATTTGTAAGCTTATTCTATACTATATTACAAAAATGAGTTAAAAAAACTATCTTACCTCCCTCAACTTTTAGTACTTGTTGCTGTTTATAAAATATGATATAGTTTTTAAATATACAGAAAACATAGTACTTGAAAATAATTAGAAACCAGAAAAAATTACAATAAACCAAGATTCTTGTTTCTGCTCTAATACTTGGATAATGGGTTAAAGGCAAAGAAAAATAAAACCACACATAGAGCTGAACTCAGGCGACAGTTTCTTGGACAGTCCAGTCTCTAATATTATTAGTATCTAAAATGTTAACCAGGCCCGACCCGTCCTCCTAAATAAGGCATTCAAAAGAAACACAACAGGAAGGTCACACTGCCATCAATGGTACTAACACTATTTCTTCATGTCTTTTCCTAAAAAGGTAAGCTTGCCGGAAACGATCTTTCAGCATCATACACTAGAGCTCCCTAAAATTATTAGAAGTGATCATTTGAAACTCTGTCACTTGTCACAGATAGCCCACAGATCATACGCCAACAGTTTCCATTAAGCAGATTTTGTATTATTATCCAAGAGAGAATCCTCATTGTATAATCCTAGTTTCCATTAAGGCAAGTTTTATATTATTTGCATTTTAATAAAAATCTCAGGGGTTTCTTTGAAATTCACAATTCCTACTTTGCATGTTCCACATCAGTCTTAAACCAACTCAGCAACAGAAAGCAAATAATGTAGAGTGAGATTCTGCTCAAATATTAAACTTTAAATCAGTATTTTTAAGAGCTTGACATAGCAATAAGAATGTTAAGATAGACTGAGTTTCTAGGAATTCCATCACAGAAATCACTAGAATTCTGAAATATGGATTTTTAGCATGAAACGTTTCAAGCATAGTTTTGACAGATAACATACCTCTTCCACTTCGACCGACAAACCTGAGGTCATTGAATCTTGCCACTTGGTTCTTCATGGCTGCGGTAGCATTTCTCAGCTCAGCAGAGTAGTTTTCATCATTGCCGGCCATCACAGTGACCAGGGTGCCATCTGGAACGTCCCCTAGGGCCACCACCTAAGCACCAGTCAAGAAACAAACGCAGACATCAGGAATGTTATACATACACTTTTAGGGCATGTGTGTAGTGATTATTCTAAAATTAAATGTATATGTGATGATTTTTTTAGGTTGTGGAGGAATAGCAATCATAACTTAAGGAAAACAACAGAAAAGTTATAATGGGAAGACACTTTTTATTGTATTTTAGGTTGATGCAAAAGTAATTGTGTTTTTTTTGCATTTTTTATTCCAAAAACCATAATTACTTTTGCACCAAATGAATACATTATGCATAACTACATGTAAATTTTCAAATAATGACACATTTACTAACTTCACCTACTAAAGCCAGGTAAGGTCATACAGCACGGTTGGAACAAGACTAACCACAGCGAAGTATCAAGGATTTTGAGTAGCTATGCCGTCTCCTGCAGACAATCATCTCTTTTTAATTCCTCCCATTTGAGAAACAGAACATCCTGTGTTCATAAGTTTATAATCTAACACATCTTTTACTTGCTCAGACCTCCACTGACAGACTGAACAAGGCCCAGACTTTACTTTTAGAAAACAAACAAACAAACAAAACCAAAATTTATTTCTGCTAAAATTAGATTTCATCTTGCTGATGATTCTTAATTAATTTAAACCATCCCTCTACAGTTCATCTTTGATACCTCCTACTCACTCCTGTTATCTTGAGTTTTACTAGCAATGAATTCTAGCACACAAGAAAAAAAATTAGAAATATATCCTTTGTTTATTACTAATTACAAAATCAACAGACCTCAGAAAGATGGGACATTCACTTCAGGGGTGAAACTGGGTTGCATTTTTATATGTCAGTCCCAAGCTGTGTCAACTCATGTCCTCACAGATGTCTGAGGTTTTCTGCTAGCCCAGCTGATCTTGACCAGGAATTTCTTTAATGTAACTGAATAGGTATGAAGTCTTATCAAGGCTATTGGAGAAAACTGGTAGATAAATATTTTTTATACTCAGGTAATCAAGAAAATGAATTTCAAAGTAAAAAGCTCTGAAAAGCACGACCTGAAGACACTTCGCATGATAGTAACAATTGCTTGGCTATCACTCGGCCCTTCTAGAAATGATTTTATTGCTGTATTTCCATTCTTTCTATTTTTCAAAGGAGTCATGCAATTTCAAATCGAAATGCCCCAAGCTGTATTTATTCTGATCAGTTCTGACATTCTTTATGGTACTTTCTCAGTCAGTAGTGACATTTATATTAACTCATTCCAATGACATCATCATTTTTGGTTGCTGTTTTTGAATTGGTAACAGCAAAGCATTCCTTAATCTGCTGTTATTATTCCCTCCTCTGACTCCTACTTTCCCATTTTTACCTTAATAATTGCTACGTAATTTTTTTTAGTAGTATCTATTTTCAGGCCTCTTTTTCTATATATAAAGAAAGACTGCTATGGACTCACTTGTATGATATCAAAGTCACGTTTCTTAAGATTCCCATCCTCATGATCTGCCTAGCCATCACCTTTCCCTGTGGCCTCCAGATGACCATCTATTGTTTTTATTCATTAGAACTGCTTCAGTCCTGTGGTTCTAAGAAGCATGGCACAGAACATGAACTCACTCACTATGAGAGACAAACATACTTCCAACCCCAAGACTACACCAGGATCATCTAGTCTCATGGAAACAGGGAGGCATTTTCCTCTATTTTATCCAACTTGCACTGTCAAGTTCTGGGCCTTTTATCTCTTGTTTTAATCCTTTCATTCCAATTGTTGGGCATGTTTTCCATATCGGAGATTTTAAAACACTGCTATTTATTCCCCAGGTACCCTCTAATTAGCTATTTAGTTCCCATTATAAGTGTGTTTGTTGCCATTTCATTAAGAGCAGTAATACAATTCCCTTTTTGTTTTAAAAAGATATCATTGAAATAAATCTCCCTGATCAGTTATTTGGTTATTGTTACTGTTTTTTTTTCTATTCCTGAAAAATGGGCTTGCTTTATTTTGCTCTTTTTAGTCTCTTACAACAAATTTTCCCCCTTTTTTCACTATTTTCACTTCCCTTTGTAAAGTTAGCTCACAGTGTTGAAATGCCCTTTTTGAACACATATTTTTACTTCCTCATATTCATCTCCCTGTGGTGACCCAGGCTTCTCAATTTTAATTCCACATTCAGAAGGTACACAGGGGCTGCCTCGACTACGTGGGTTTCAACTGAATAACTCATTGTTGGGTCTGAATCTGTAAAAAGATTAAAATAAACAAATCCCTTTTTTATAACTACAGGAATGTATTCTGAATGATCTGCCTCCTGCTGCTGGTTCCTCTCACAGTGCCCCACGCCTGTGCCTCTCTCATCTTTCCAATACTGTCCTCATTAGTAATCTGGCAAATTCACGAGACCTTCGCCAAGTCGAAACAAACATAGGATAAAATTATCATGGAGGCTAAATAAGAAAAGATTGTCGATGTTGGAATTTAAGAACTGAAAAAATAGAAGTTTAACTCTCGCTTCTCTCTTTCTTTTTTTATTTTATTTATTGGTTTTTTTATTGCATTTTAGGTTTTGGGGTACATGTGAAGAACATGCAAAAGCACTGGCAGCAAAAGCCAAAATAGACAAATGGGACCTAATCGCCCCTCTCTCTCTTTTTCTCTCTCTCTCTTAATAAAGCAGAATCAAAGATGTTTGGGCACCTACATATCATTTACTTGGCCTTGTATTGATCTCTGAGGGATTTTTTTTTTTTTTTTGGCAGGGGGCGGGTTCAGGGAAATTATTAAATCCAGGGCAATTTCATTAATAACATATATTGCCCAGTTGTTAACAAGCATACTTAAGCTAGGTTTAAAAAGTTTTTTAAATTTAAAACTAACATGTGTGCTAATTTGATACAGGTTTTGCCACTGATGGGCAATATGGGGAGAATGAAAAAATATCTAACTTCAAACAGAAAAAAGGAACAAGTGGAATGAAACGCTATAAACAATAGGTAAGGAAACACAAACATTTACATTTTAACACAGACCAAACAGGCAAGAAGGGACTTGCTGGCCAAAGATATCTCATATTTTGTTTTACTTCTCTGTTTTTAAAGGATCAGGAAGTTGGGGAAAATATCAACTCTCTTCTATACTACACGGACCTCTCAATACTGTTCTTGGCTAGTCTGTTCACAGTTCAAACTGGCATTTTAAACCAGTTCTAATTAGGTTGAAATTACAGTTACAATTCATTTACTTCAAATCCCTTAATCTTCCAGTGCTTCAAAGAAGGCTGTGGAGTGGAACGTAGAACTCAGCTGAGATGACATTTAAGGCATAGCTAGGGACCGTGATCTTGCCGACAGAAGTATTACTTGTTTCCTTTTTATGAAAAGAATATTACCACGAGAATCCAAGGTCTCTGAACTTCCCTGCTACAGGCATGTTTACGTCTTTGGACTCTGGTGTACCAAGGCCTGAACAACCTATAATACCATGGTATTATAAAATACATCCTGAGTGATCAAAACAGCTTTTTAGGCTACTTCTGTAAATACAGCAAAACACACAGCAAATGTAAGGTTTTCTTAGTAGTAAAAGCCATGTATATCTCATACTGTAAAAATAAAGGTGTTCCATGGGAGGGAAGGAGTAGGAGGAGAACAGATTGGGGTCCAAAATAAGCAAGTAGAGTTATTCTAGTCTATTTTAAAGAAAATTCATAATTTTAACTCTCTCTTTAGTTTAGAAGATTGATGTAGAGGATTTACCTCTAGAACTTCAGAAGACTCCTAAGAAGCCCTTAAATGATATTTTCATCAATATCATCAGGCCTTATCATTGTTTCACATTTGCTTCTTTTATCATGGAGAATATAATAATTATTTACTGATTTAATTCCTAGGGAGATTGCCTTCGGCTTATTTCAGATCCAAAATTTAAAATAATAATTTCTGTAGAAACTGGGATGTGGTTGGGTGGGTGGATAAATAGAGTGAAGCCAGGGACATACAGTAAATGAGCCCGCGATGTAGGCAAGTTTGGATGTTTTGCTACTTTTATCCCTTCACATTTGCTGTCTCACTGAACATTTTGTCTACTCTTCTAGTTATGCAGAGAGCAGGTCTCCTGGAGAAGAAGTCTCTTTTTATGAGGATTGGGGTGGTGACAGATATTAATCAAATGGTCTGATTTCTCTGCTATCCTTTCCTTTCCCCCAAGCGTTCTCAAGAGGCCTGCCTGAACTTTTTCAAGAGATCTATATTTTGATTTTTAGTAGCCTACAGATTATCACTCAATAAAATAAATTAATTGTTTTTAAGTGAATTGCCAAAAGTCATTTTAAAAAGGAAACTCTAGGGTTATTATGATTTCTGCTAAAAAGAACCCTGATGGCTCATAAAAGCAGATGTAAGATTTTTCATTTTCTTTTTAGAAGAAAATAAATACTTTTACATAATGGCTTGAGACTTGAATTGCTCCAACTCCTGAAGATTCTTTATTAATCATTTAGTGTTTTGATATATTTGAGTGTGGGTTCCCTGGCAGAGGAGGGAGTTCAGAAGAGACCCTGATTTTCCCCCAAGGGAAGCCACAAATCTCTTGGAGCCCTGGTGCATTGGGGCAGCCAGGTTCAAATGACCTTTGGTGGTTATCAGCCTGTCTTGCCTCTGCTCTTATCTGATAGTGACCCCATGGCCCAACCCTGTTGGGTCCCCTCTCAATGCAGGTGCCCTAAAGATTCACCGCTGAGTCCATTTAGGCAAAGGGTTAGAATGATGTAAAAGTAAAATGGTCTCCCAAACCCAAATCTAAGTAAACGGAGGGAGGGAAAAAGTCAAGCAGGTCGCTGCATTCCTTCTCCTCATTTCCACCCCCACTAAAAACAAAACCAAACAAAAAACTGCTTTTGGAAAGTGAGTGGAAAAAGCGGCAAATCTATAGACAGACACAACTGAAAATTTCGTTTTGTTTTAGAAATCACAGTCTAAGTGTGGAAAGTGTATAAAGCTTAAAAATAACTCCAACAATACTTTCTTAAAAAGTGAATATTATTCGCTGTAATAAGATCAAGACCCAACGGAGGCCTGGGACTATAAAAAACTTAATCTCCCCTTAAAGGGGACAATTATTTAAACATTTTTGTTTAAATAGCTTATCTTTACACTTGGAACCACCTACCTTGATTAGCCCTTTAAATGAACAGGAAATGACCTGCACTGATTTTACTTAGTCGCATCTTTTTAAACTCACCAAAGACAAAACAGAATCTCCAGTGCAGAAATTAAATTCCCACTGCTGGCTGTTAGGGTAGGGTGGTTGTTTAGAAACGCCTGGGGTTGTTTTCATACCCCTGTTGAAGGCCAAGGTTTTTAAAGGCAGCTCAAAGCTAGGGGATGATCAAGGGTGAAAAGTGAAGGAAGATATTTGGAGCCGCCGCACTGAAGTCTCGGGTACGCGCCGCCCCCTCCTCTAACAGGAAAGCGGGCCGCTGGGACCCCCGGCCCTCCGAATACAGCCTCGTCACCTTTCGCTGCCCGGGGCTTAATCTAGGTGAGCTGATGATAGCATTCAGAACGGTTTCGGAAAAGAAACAGGATTCGCTATTTGCGGCCTCTGGCCACAGCAGGCTAAAAAGCTCAGAGAACTCTTCAGAAAACTTTTGCAAACTTAACTTATGCCGGCTGTGGACTTTGGACATGCTAATTCCTATTTGGCGGTCAGAGAAGAGGGGGAAAAGTCCGTGACAGTTTCCCTTGTTAGTTTCTTTTCACTGACTGGAAGGTAGGAAAGTATCAATCACTATTTTATTTCCTGATGCCTTCATCTGAGGAAGGCAAAATGGTTTGGGAGTTAAGCCAGTGGTAGGGGCAGCAGTAAGTTAGCAGACGGGCTGTCCCTGCCGGGCTGAGTTACAACTTTTCCTACTTTGTTTCAAAGCTACGGCCCCTGCCAGGGAGGTCCCAACCAGCCCCCATTGAGGTCATCCTGATGTGTTCAGCCCTCCCGGGAAGGCCGCCCCAAAAAGCGGAGACGAGTCCCTCCTGAGGGGTCGCCACGGCAACACAGCATCCCCCGCATCCCAAACTAGGAAGACGGACCCTGGGCTGCCATTCCCGTTTCTAGAATCCAGCCCCGCCCGCCCAGCCGCTGCCCTCGCGGATCGCCCCGGGCCTCGCCGGCCTCCGCCTGTCCTCCCACCACCCGCTCCGGGCCAGTACCTTGAAAGCGATGGGCAGGGTCTTGTTGCAGCGCCAGTGCGTAGGCAGCACGGAGCAGAGAAAGTTGGGGCTGTCGGTGCGCACCAGCTCGCCCGGGTGGTCGGCCAGCACCTCCACCATGCTGCGGTCGCCGCTCCTCAGCTTGCCGGCCAGGGCAGCGCCGGCGTCCGGGGCGCCCAGCGGCAGCGCTTCGCTCATCTTGCCTGGGCTCAGCGCGGTGGAAGGCGGCGTGAAGCGGCGGCTCGTGCTGGCATCTACGGGGATACGCATCACAACAAGCCGATTGAGTTAGGACCCTGCAAACAGCTCCTACCAGACGGTGACGGGGGCGCGGATCTTCAGCAAGCAGCTCCCGGGAGACCAACATACAAGTTCAGAGGCCTTTATTACTGCGGGGGGAGGGGGGTGCTGGTTAGGGGACCCGGGAGACGAAGTTACTAACAGTCCAGGGTGGGTTTGGGCGGCGGGGGCGGGGGGGGGCAGTTCTGGTTCTGCCGATCGGCCTCCGACACAGGATGGGCTCCTAGCAACCGACCGCTTAGTGCATTAAAAAGTGGAGACTATCTTCAAGTCTTGCTTGCAGAGTTTTAAGTTCAGTCTTTGGCTGTTACAAAAGGTCCTGAAGGCAAAATTCTCATACACTTCCTAAAATATTTATGCGGAGAGTAAAACGACCAGCAAACACATTATTTGGAAGTCCCAGTAGTTAGTGCCTGTCAGTTTTCTGCAGGTGAGTTTTGTCTAAAGTCCCAACAGAACACAAGTATCTCCCATACACAAGGCCACTTTTATCATGCAAAACTGGCTTCAGTCCTGAAAAGCAAGGGCTGCGACATTCAGAGGCCGTGCTCCTAATGTATGTGCACGTATATATAAATATATACATATGCTCTACTTCATAAAATATTTACAATACAATCTGTGGAGAATTTAAACACAACAGAAATCCATTAATGTACGCTGCAGATTTTTTTAAGTAGCCTTGAAAATCAGCTTCAGTAGTTGGAGCAGAGCTGAACTAGAAGTACTCTTCATGTTCTCTGTTCTCTCAATGAATTCTGTCAAAATGCTCAGTGCAGAAAATCCAGCATTTCAAATATCTTCAGCTAATCTTAATAATAATAAAAATAATAATAATAAGAAGAAACAGGCCCAGTCGATGACATTCAGCGTACTGCAGCTCTCCACATCTGCGAACTCGCGTTTGGGGATGTTGGTGAAGTTTGTGGCTGGTCCTGTGGTTTGGTGGGAGTTGAGCAGCCGCGGAGTCACACACACGCAAACACGCACTCTTCGGAAGCCGGCCACTGTCTACATCAGCTGGGTGACTCAGCCTCGACTCGGGCAGCAGCGAGACGATCCTCCTCCACCGTCGCCCAGTGGCCCCCGGGTTAGCTGTTCCGAGGCACTAACACCCACGAGCGCCGCGTAACCGCAGCAGGTGGAGCGGGCCTTGAGGGAGGGCTCCGCGGCGCAGATCGAAACAGTGCGGGCGGCTCAGGTTACACACGCACGCACACCCTGCCACGCATCCTGCCACGCACAAGCAACTTCACGGCTCGCCTCGGACCACAGCGCACTTTCTCCCGCAGTTGTAAAAGGAAAACAATTGGGGAAAAGTTCACAGCCCAGAAAGAAGTTGAAAACATCCAGCCAAGAAGCCAGTTAATTCAAAACGAAGAAAGAGGGGAAAAACAAAAAAACCAACAACAAAAAAAGGAAGGTCCAACGCAGGCCAAGGAGAAGCAGCAGAGGTTGACTTCCTTCTGGCGTCCCTAGGAGCCCCGGGAAGAAGTGCCTGGCGGCGCAGGGTCGGGCAGCGTGGTGCCCTGGCTGGGTCCGGCCGCGGGGCGCCCGTCCCGCCCGCGCCCGCTGGCTGTATGAATGAGAGTGCCTGGAAATGAACGTGCTTTTACTGTAAGCCCGGCCGGAGGAATTCCATTCCCTCAGCTCGTTTGCATAGGGGCGGCCGGCGGCCAATCACAGGCCTTTCCGGTATCAGCCAGGGCGCGGCTCGCGGCCGCCGGCTCCTGGAATTGGCCCGCGCGCCCCCGCCGCCGCGCCGCGCGCTACTGTACGCAGCCCGGGCGGGGAATCGGCGGCTACCCCCGCGCCCCCGCACGCATCCTGGCCCTGGGCCCCGCCCGAGTGCCGACCCCTTCCCGCAGCCACACGCGGGCTTCTGAGACTTCGCGAGCGGCCGCGGTCCCGAGACCTGGGAAGAGAAAGCAGGCCCTGGCGGCCGGAGGAGGACCCGGCCCGCGCGCCGCGCCCCTCCCCGAGACCAGCTGCAGGCAGGCCAGCGGCCGCCGCAAGGCTCGGGAACCGGAGCTGAAGCCCGCCGGCGGCCCCAGATCCTGCGCAGCGCCCAGGGCCAGGCCTCCGCTTCCCGGGCGGGGGTGAGATTCGGCCGCGGGGCCCGGGGGAGCCGCTCCACGCTCCTGCACCGCCCGGCTGGCAGCTGCGGCGAAGCGGCGCTGATTCCCCGCATGAGGCCGGACGGCGTCCGCGCGTGTCGTTTACTTTCAACGTCTTTCCTCGGGTCGATTTCTGTAAAGGGTGTTTGTTTCTAACCGCTCCGTTGGGCCGCGGCTCCATCCCGCCTCGCGCCTCACCGTGGCTGCATGTGCCCGCGGCCCGAGAGGAGTTTCCTAGTCAGAAAAGACCCTAAGAAAGCGCGGCTGGAGGGAAAGTTGAAAGCAGCCGCGCGGCTCGCTCCCGGGCATCGCAGCGCCGCCCCCGCAACCGCGGGATAGCCCGCCCCTGCCCCGCGTCTCCCCTCCGGCTCCCCGGAAGCGGACCCAGCTCCTCTCCCCGCCCCGCGCGCGCGAGCCGCCCCAAGTGCGGAACCCACCCCGGCTTCGCGCGCGGATGGCCGCTTCCCCCTAAGTCGCCGCGGCGCCGCGGGCATTTTCGCGGAGCTCCGAGGGCCCCGCCCCCGGCCCGGCGCGCGCGGCCAACTCCGACCCCACCCGACGGGGCTCGCTCCCCGCGGTGGCTGCTCAGGTCCCTACCAGTCCCCCTACGCCCTCCCCGCAGGGTCCTGCGGCCCACCGGGGCCTCTCTATCCCGGGACTGTGACCGGGAGCCCCGCTCCACCGCGGGCTTCTTTGCCGTCCCCGCGGAGCCCCTCAATTCAGCTCCCCCGCGCAGGGGTCCCCCGCCCAGCCCCACGGGGCCCCTGACTCCCGCTCCTCCCTCCCCCAGGGCTGGGGTGCTGGGGCCGCTGCCACGCAGGGACTGTCCCTGGGCGTTGCCGCGGGCCGGGACGCAGGAAGGGGCCGGGGCCGGCCGGCGTGGAGGCCTATCCCGGGCGGGTTGGGGCTGCGCGGAGCTGCTGGGACGCGCCGCGGGCTCGGGAGGACGCCAGGGGGCAGTAGCCGCCCTCTCTGGAAGCTGCGCGCAGCCCCCGGAGCGCCCGGAACGCCCGGAACGCCCCCGACGGCGCTGGGCTCTGCGGCCCGTCTCGTGGCCTTCGGGTGGCCCAGGAAGAACTGGAGTTCGAGGAGAAACGACAGGACGCGGCTGCCAGAGCCCACTTGAGCTTGAACGGCCGCGGCGCGTCTCCAAGGTTCCGATCTGGAGTCACAGCCGGCCGGGTTGGGGACCCTCCACCGGGACTCCTGGCCGTGCGGCCCGGTCGAGTCTCTTCCCGAAGCCCCTGTGCCTGGGGCCCGCTCGGGGCTGTCGCGCCCCGACTCCCGCGGATAAGGCGGGCGACCCGCGGCCTCCGCCCCCTCCGGTCTCCCCCTGCTCCTTTCTCGCAGGAAAACCGTGGGCACTGCCAGCACCCTAGTGCAGTTTTGTTTTAATGGACCTGGGGTCTCCGAAAGAAAACTTCTTATTTTTTAAAATGATTTTTAAGCCTCATTCCGGTTGTAACCACCCCCCGCCGCCAAACGTCCACTTTCTAACACTGTCCCTGGGCAGAATTCATCGGGCCCGCCAGCCTGCCCATCTGTCCGTCCGGGCCGCTCCGCCTTTGCCTGCGGGCTCGGACGCGTCCCGCTCTAGAGGCAAGTTCTGGGCAAGGGGAACTTTTCGCCTGGGCTCGAATGCATTTCCCCAAAATCCCACCCAGGACTGCTGGGGCCACCCCAAGTGTATCCCCTGTACCCTCGAGATGTGGGAAGAAGCACGAGGGTGTGGCGGCTCCAAAAGTAGGCTTTGACTCCAGGGGAAATAGCAGACTCGGGAGATCTGCTTCTCAGAAAGGTTCAGGGAGGCTCGTTTGGGTCTCGGGCCACTTGCCTAAAACCCTAAACCCTGCGAGGGGCTGCGAGTCGTACGTGGGCTGCAGTCTCCCGACAGAGTCAAGTTCTCTTTTCGAGTAAGGAAAGTTGGTCCCAGCCGGGCATGCACCGTATTTAGCCTTCAGAGGCTGCGTCGTGGGAGCTGCTCAGCTAGGAGTTTCAACCGATAAATCCTGAGTTTGAAGCCCGACAAAAAGCTGATAGCAGCCAAAGCTTTTGCTCCTTGACTCGCTGGGATTGCCGGGCATTTGGGTTTCCCGGGAGCGGCGCGGGCTTTAACTGCGCGGCGTGGCGCGGAGCGCTCTTGAAAACAAGAAACAGACCAGCCACTGCCCCACCTTACTGAGACTCTAAAATGAATAGAATAGAAAGAGGCTCGGGCTCGGGGGGACAGGGAACCCCTTAGTCTGCAGGGCATTTCATGGAGCCTGCACTCTCAAGGCCAGCAACAGCGTGTGCGAAATGAGGAATTCCTTTCCACCAACAGCGCTCATTTTAGCGGCAATATAGAATTCCCCTTCCTTTGCCTAAGGGAGAAAGGAAAGGAAGCATTACCAGGTTCATTCCCAGTGTTACCTTGGAGTAACGCTAGAATTTACCTTTGTCATAATGCAAAATTACAAAAAAAAAAAAAAATGCAACGAAGCGATGTTAGGAGGATGCTACGTGACAGATTTTTCTGAATTTGTTTCGGGAAGAGGGAGGGAGGAGAATTGAAAAAGGCTCACAACAGGAATGAAATGTAAATTTCCGCAGTAGATTCGAAAAATAGTACTTGGTTAGTTGGAAGAAAAATAATTTCATTGGAAAACAGTAACAGTTCATTGACGTTTTTCTTCTACAACTTTAGGTAAATATATGTGGTCTCAGAAAATAACTAAATATTTTAATTTTTGCTCTTTCAAAAGCCTCCCGAAAATATGCATAAAGATGGGATTAGAATCTCAACAGTTCTCTTAAATGACCCTTTGCGAGCAATATGATATTTTCCAAATTACATTTGTAAAAATGTAATACCTCTAAAAGAACTGTTTCTATTTTAAATGACCAATTTACATTTTTAAAAATAGAGAATGTGTCTTGCTATGGTTTTGAACCAAATAGCTGCAATTTGTATTAATGTCACAGGGATGGAAAACAATTTTGATGAAGAGTAACATGTATGTACAAATCACCTGCCATACACACTATCCAGTTTTGAACATTGGAATTTAATTAAACATTTTTTTCTTCTGAAGTGGCTTTGAGATTACTTCACTTTTCAAATCTAATTACTATGGGGAGGAGAGTCCTTAGTTCTTCCATTACACCCTGCCTCCATCTGAAGGTTTCTGTGGGATGCTATGGTTAATGTGTCATTATTTCACTTTCACTTCATAAATCCATTGTGTACCTCACAAGTAGCAAGCTGATATTTTAAAATTAATCTTTTTTAAATTTAGGAATGCTTAGTAAACATTTTACTCTTATAAAAATTTTGCATTACGACTGCTATAACAGAGGTAATAAACTGGGCTGCAACAGAAGCCAAGCTCTATTTTGTTTTTAGAGAGTTGTATAGAGGCATTTAATAGCAGAAGCACCTGTGGTAAACGCTGTAGAGCTGAGGGTATCATTTAAGCTTTCATTGAAATATTTTATATGGTATAACATCTACAATATGGAGAACTGCTTTTAAGTATATTGGAATCAGCAAAAAGCCTTAATTACTTGGTTAAATTATATCACAGGTTATACATAGAGATACATAGATATAAAGTCATATAAACATATATGAATGTGCATATTTTATTTAAAAATGTAACTTAGAATGAAACATACCGTGGACGTCTCTAGAAGGATTCATTCCAAGTATGCATTCTGAAATAATAGAAAGTAGGAAAATAAAAATAATGCAAGTTTAAAAATTCTCCCCCCACTTTTTCTTTCTAACTCATTTTTCACACTTTTTAGCACTGGAGATTTTTATAGTTTTGACACAAAAATGACTTAAAATAGTAAATCGCCAAATAAAAAAACTATTACATTTGCACGTGGTTTTATGTACCTTCGACCAATGTTTTCCATTGCTAGCTAATACTGAATATCTGTCGTAGAATCACCTCTTTTAAGCTCTGTGTGTGATGAAAATGTGATTTATTTAGTGAAAATTTAAAATACATTTGGAAGGTGTAGGAATGTTAGAATTTAAGGTGAAATTAAAACCAAACCCTAACTGAATGCAAAAACATTTATGACCATTTACTTCTAATGATAGGACATTTTGGAAACATTTTTCCCTGCTTACTCTCCTTCCCTTCCCTTTGCTAGGCAGGCAGATTATTTACATCTAAACCTCTCAAAGGTATAATAGATTATATCAATTAAATAATAGATTATATCAATTATTATTAGAAATAATTGTTATAATTCCCAAATATGGATCACTTACTATATACTACTGCATTTGCAACTATAGGTAAACCTATTAAGCAAAGTCACATGAAGCTCTTCTTCTTTTGAATATCTACATATAATGTTGTGAATTTGAAATTATCAGCCTTGTATATTGATAACAGCACTGAGTAATGAAGAGGAAATACTGTTTTTCAAAGAGAGGATTTGAGTATTTCAAATGATGATCTAAAGCTTTCAACTCCACACCACAATATTTAGTATACTGTGTGTTTTTTAAAAAATCTTTCAAAGTAAGAAAGGAGACAATTATTTCAGATTTCCAGTTGCTGTTTAAATAGGCAGGAAAACAAGATTTGCAGCTTCTTTGGTTTTATATTTTTGCCAAAGCAAAAGGAACAACTAAAATAAGAGGTTCTGAAGGACTACTCTATGATGAAATATTAAAGGAGTTAAATATGTATAGTCTCAAAGGACCATCCTGAAAAAAGAATCCCAAGATTGTGGTTTACAAGTAGATAAAATGATTCCACAAAGTTTTCTTCTTAAAGAGCAAGGCAGAGAAATAATCATTGGCATTAATTGTGAATGATAAGGTAAGAAATAACAAACATGCCCTGAAGTTTTGCCAGCTCAGTTTTAATGGGTGTTGGGTTGGTGGGGTAAGGGTGTGGAATCCACACCGGTAAGACTGACCAGACAGCACACCCAGCGCTACGCACCCTGGAAATTCTCTCCTGAGACCCAGAGAAGCTTTTCCTTGTCTGAGTCTAAGAAATTGGAGTAGGAGAGCAAGTAAACACAGGTTCATTTACACACCTCATATTTCAGCAATTCTGAGGATAAAGCCAAGATTTTTTAAAATCAAAAAAAGGGCAAAAATGAGTGGATTTTGAAAAATATGATTGGTAACTATTAAACTATTCTTAGTTCTTCTGTATCCAGCAGCCTTGAGAACACAGCAAATGTGGTTAAATTGGGGAGGGGGGAGGGGCAGGGGGTGAGAAACTGCTGCCCAGGTGAAGTAGCATCTGTGCAGGTTTGAAGTGATTTGCCCAGGAAGCTGTTAAAGATGCCAGGACACAAACTGCAAGAGAGGAGAGGTGTGTGTTTATGACAGTGAACCGTGAATCTGGTAGCTCACCCTCCAGTGTGCTCACTGGCATGCTCTCTCTCTCTTCCCTCCATCCGCCATTGAATGCAATTATATGCCAGGCAACGGGAGAAGTGCTTTTACATACTTTTCCCGATTTAACCCTTATGGCAACTTCGTTGCTATCCCCATTTTACAGATAAGAAACCTCACCCTTGGAGAGTTCAGGAAACTTGCCCAAGTTCACATCAGTCTTGATCTACACACATACACACACACACACACACACACACACACACTCATGACACATATACACATTCATCACATTCATATCTACATATAGGTTCCACATGCATGGTAAGCTGTGTTCCATTTTTATCACAATTATTTATTTTTCCGCACCATTCCTTGAATGCTGTTTCTATCCCAGGCAAGGTGCTGGGCTCATTGGTGACAAAGGACAAACATGAGAGTAAACAAGGGTCATGGCTGTTGGGGGACCATGTCCAGGACCCCGGGAACTGGTGGGAGGGAATGTCGGAGGAAGAGGGGCCAGCAGCCCCTGGTGGGCTCAGGAAAGACTTCCTTCCTAGCAGAGGTGATGTTTGACATGATTCTCGGAGCTTTGGTAGATTTTTAGGTGGTTCCAAGAGCTAGAGGAGGGGTTTAGGGATGTGACGGTGGGGTGGGGAGATGGTGTTCAGGGCAGAAGAAGCATCATGAGCAAGGATGTGAGTCTATGAAACAGATCACTGTGTTAGTTCCAGTACAGTTGGGGCATAGGTTTGAGACCAGGTTCGGGGTGGGGGGTTGATGATGCAGTGTGGCAGTTCACAGATACATGGACATAGATAAGTCATTGGAAGCACACGCAACCTGAGGAAATGTCAACTTCAACATGAGGGAAATTGATCTATCAAAGCCAAACAGGGAAATAACAAAATTAATATAAATTTTAGAAAAATAAATCTCTCAACAGTGGCTCAATGAATTGAAGGGTGTGGAGATGAGGACTGGGGAGCCACTGCAGTTGTCAGACAAGGGGTCATGAGGATCTGGATTAAGGTAGAGGCAATGGAGATGGAAGAGGGGCTTGGGGTGAGGGGGAGGAGTCTCCCCAGCATCTGCCCATTAATAGTAGAGAAGACCAGAAACAGTGGGTTTGCAGAGAGAGACATTGGGATGTCTCTCTGAGCTTTGGATGCCCAGAACAGAAGAGGAGGTGCTGGTGGGGAAAACAGGAATTCTGGGGAGAGGTTTCATGTAGAAATAATGAGCTGAACATCCTCAGAATATCTATGGTAGTTTCAGATTGTATCTATGGTACAATCAAACTACGTATGGTAGTTTCAGAGACTGTTTGCAGTGAGAAGAGACCATTCACAGGTCTGGGATTATCAACATGCCGGGGGTGGGCAGAAGAGAGAGCAACTAAGGAGATGGAGTTAAGAAAAGAAAGAGGAGAGAATAAGGAGTAAGAATAAAGGAAAACACTAGCTTTGGAAGGAAAGACATGGCCCAAAGGCCACAGAGGCACCATGGAAACAAGAACTGAAAAGATTCCACTGGGCTGGTCTACAGAGAGAGCTATGTAACCTGTGTCAGAAGAGATCCAACTGAGTGGTAGCAGGAATGGAGCAGGGAGTAGAAAGTGAACGGGATGTAGGGAAGGGGACATTGAAACTTGTTGGAGGAGGAAGGGAAACTGGTGGGTAACGGGAAGGGAAAGACCAATGTTGAGAGGTTATGTGTATGTATGTGTGTGCACGTGTATACACAGGTGGAAGCAACCTGAGAAAAGTAGTGTTTGCCATGTGTAGTTTACTAAAGATCAAGTTCATCAGCTTTCACTTCAACCCAGGTCTTCCTTTTGTTTCCCCCACTGCACCATCATTCTCTCAGTTTCCAGACTTGGATCCACGGGTTGATCTTTGCCCTCATCCAGTCTTTTGCCAAGTGTTCTTTCTGGATTTCTTTGGTTGATAACAATCCAGCCCCCCTTTCAATTCCTATTGACATCATTTTGGTTCAAGTTCTCATTAGCGCTCAGCAGATGTCTTACAAAGATCTCCTAAAAATGGGGTTCCTGCTAGTTGTATACAGTACTTCCAGATTAGTCCCCCACACCGTAGTTCTGCTGACTGTGTTCTCTTGGGTATCTGGAATTCAAAGGAAGGTTTTTAGCACAGTCCTGAAGGATTAAGAGCCACCTTTCCTGTCTTCATCTTGGAGAGGGGCAGATCCTTCTGCCTCCAGTGAAATTGCCTCTCAAAGACCAATCACATGCTTCATCAGCATCTCCACATCTCCTGTGTGACTTGAACTATAATGTATTTTGGGTTTTAGCTATTTAAGTATATTGGGGAGTGGGGCAGGTGAGAGGAGGTGGTGGGACCACGCCTTCCTTGGCTTCAGGTTTCTATGGAAAAACATTCCTTAGTGTAAAACTCTTGACCTCTTTTTACATCATCATTTCTCCTCCACCATAAAAGATGGAATTGCCCGGCTAGTAGTGTTAGAAGCAGAAACCAGCTGTAGAAGGCAGAAGCATCAAATGAACCCCTCAAACTCTCCACCCTCATCCCTGGGGCTGGGAATATGATGTGCTATTATGCTCTGGTTATGTTACATGGAATAAAAGATAGTTTTCATATATGTAATTAAGGTTACTACTCAGTTGCCTTTGACTCAAGCAACAGAGAAATTCTCCTAGTAGCCCTAATCTAATCACAGGAGACCACTATAAACAATGTTTTCTCAGGCTAGGGCAGAAGTGAAGTCAGCATTGTAGTTAGAAGACAGAGCGGACATTTGCAAGAACTAGAGAGCAGTCTCTAGATGCTGAGGGCAACCTCTGATCTACAGTCAGCAAGGGAATGAGGGCCACCATGCCACAGCCACATGAAATTGTATTCTGCCAACCACCTGCGTGAGCTTGGAGGTAAATTTCCCCCTAAAGCCTCCAAGTAAGGACTCAGGTTGGCCAATCCCTAAATTTCTGGCCTTGTGAAACTCTGAGCAGAGAATCTAATACAGCCCCACCAGATTTCTGACTTGCAGAACTGTGTGCTAAATTTGTTTAAGCTGCTAAGCTTGGTGATTTGCTCGTTTGACAGCAAAAAATAAAAAAGCGAGTGCCCTGGGCATTCTCTTTCCCACTCCTTATCCTTTTGGGGAGACACTGCTTGGGTATTGGTGAGTGAGTCTCCCTATTTCTGGAGTTCAGTGGCAGGAAGCCACACACCTAAGCCATGCTCTCCAAAAGTTCTGTCAGTGACAAAGCTGATATTTTTATCTCCATCTGCCTGACTCCTTTGTCATCTAACTGTTGATTCTGGATCACTGGAGAGTAGGGGTATCTTTTATTGGGTCT